ATGCCACTTGGAGTGAGCTGGCCATGGGTGTAGGTGCTGTCATAAGAAGCCATTCCCTGGTGGTGCCACCACGCCAGGCCCTGATGCCAGGACCTCCGTGCTGGTCAGTCTGCAGTCCAAGCTGCTGGGACTCAAACTAGGAGCTTTTTCTGGCTTTGACTTCCTTGATAGTTTCACCTGAAGGATCAAGAGGCACGAAACATAGAAAAGCAACCACCCAAAGGGATGTGTGCATCAGAATGGCTCCCCGGGCTGCCCTGAGGTGACGCCATTAGTCAAGCAGCCTGTCTGAGATCTGCCAGGGAGGCGTTCTGAGTTTGTGGGTTTTGTTTGTTTGTTTTTGGATTACTGTTTGTTCGGAAGACAGACTGGAAAAGTCACAGAGGGAACTTCAGAAATGGTAGCTCACTGCTCGTCATAGGCTGGGGATGACCAGACCCCTAAGGTCATTGGCATGGAAGGAAGGGCTTTACTTCCGTGGGAGTCAGCTCTCCAGGCGTCTCTCCTGCTCCTGGACAGCCATGAGGGAGGCTCTGAATCAGCTTTGTTTGCCAGGACTGTATTTCCCAGGAATTTGAATAAGGAAAAACAAACAGCCTTGGGAGACAGTGTGCCCCTCCTGGGCAAATGGCAGATCTGCGTCTGTCCAGTATAATAAAGACAAAAGGAAGTGAGCTTTCCCCCTCCCTCTCTTAAGCTCCGGTTCCTCAGCCGCAGAAGCAGCATGCAGCCCAGCCACCCTGCACGCCCTTGGGAATTGGGGTGCATCCTATTCCCCCTCCACACACCTTTAAGAGTCAGGGTGCAGAGGGAAGGGATGGCTGATGATGCTCAAACTTCTCTCAGCCCCTGCCCCGAAGTATATAGTCCTTTGCCTTTGGCCCAGGGGTCTCCTGTATACCGCCAGCACCCAGGATACTGTAGCACTTTATTTAACTTGTTAGCTTGCAAGTTTGGTAAATTCTAAGACCCAGTGTGTGGTTCTTGACAATGACCCTGTTGTTGCTGTGGTTGTTAGTTGCCATCAATTTGGCTCTGACTTACAGAGACCCTACGATCAGCAGAACGAACCACGGCCCGGGCCCACACCGTCTTCATAACCCTAGTACCGCAGACCTACTCTAGTACTATAGGAAAACATCCTGTGATAAAAATTGGTGGCGAAAGCCCTGAAATTCACGGATGAGACTTAGTATTTCATACGTTGCTTTTCGGTGCTGTCCAGTCCACTCTGGTTCATAGTGACCCCACATCAAAAGGGTTTTCAAGGCTGGGAACCTTTAGAAGCAGGTCCCCAGGCCTCACTTCTGAGGCGTCCCTGGGTGGGTTCAAGTGGCAACCTTTTGGCAGGATCAGTAGTTGAGTCACATATCATACATATGAGCTACTGGCATTTTCCATACGTGTAACTTTTTGGAGCATTATCTGTAACCATTTACGACCCCCACCCCCGCATACACTCATAGGAAGGATTTTGGCTTTTATCTGGCTGAATGATATCTATCGTTAAAGCAGGTTTTGATTTGTTAGGTGAATGTTTTCTGCAAGCTAAGAAAAAATGTAAGTACCATCTATCCATTTATCTGTGTATGAAATGCCTTCTCAATAGTTCAGCTAACTCAGCTGTTTTCTGAGGAATTACGTTATGTTATGAATGTGAATTTTTTTGTTTTTTATGTCTGCAAAAATAGTTGCAGCTAGCTCGCCATGTTTCATAAGGGTCAGTGATGTCTTGCAAACCCTGTACTTTGGTGGTAAGGAATTGTTTTAAATCTTTTTCTCCATCTCCTTGAATTGCCCTTTGAAAGACTTGTAGCATCTCAAAAGATTGAGCTAAAAGGATGGCATCCATGTTTCATAAATAAACAAAAAACATGCCAGTATGATTCCCAAGCTGCCGTAGGGTAGGGCCTGTGCCCATAGACACAGGACTCCCTAGACCACCCCGACCTCAGCTCTCTCCCCCCACTGGACTTCGCATCACTGTAACAAGACTGTGCGGTGAGGACTGCAGCTCAGTAGGTCTGCTGACGGTCCACCTCCCCAGCTCGAAGAGCACAGGAAGTCAGAAGGCCTTGTCTACTGTTGCAAACCGTATAGCCGGGGCTTCAGCCTGGGTCATGCCAGTTTGAGCCCTGCTGAGAATTTGCCTTTCCACCTCAGGTAGACTGAATCAGAATCCACATTTTAACCAGATCTCTAGGGATATAACAGAGTCCATTGTCCGTAGCATCACCCTGTGTCAGGGACCGACTTGATGGCAGCTAGCTACAACTTTACAAATGGAGTCAAGATATGAGTATACATAGTGTGCACAGGTCCTGTTCTCCTCCACTGGTATATTTATATAGCATGTATATGGTTGCAGAAAGCTGAGCTTCACCAACATTAGCTTTATGGACTGTCTGGAGCCTGTCTGGCCAAAACCAGAGCAATGACTGGCCTAGCACCTTAGTGTATGAATGGGAGGAAGGGGTTTGTGAACACACAGAGCAGTAGTAGAGGGGGGGAAATTAAGAAAAGTGAAAAGAAATTCTAGTTTGCAAAGAAGAATGTTATCAATCTAGAAAATACGTCCTATGTGAAAAATTAAAACAAGTGTGTATTGAAGGAGCTCTGGTGGTGGCGTAGTGCCTAAGGCATTTGACTGCTAACCAGAAGGCTGGAGGTTCAAACCCACCAGCCACTCCTCAGAAGGAAGACTGGGAAATCTACTTCCGTAGTGATACTGCCTCAGCAACCCAAGGAGGGGTGTCTATGAGTCTAAACGACTCCATGGCAGTGAGTTTGGTTTTGAGTTTGGTATTGTAGGACACCAGTGGGGAAGAGGACTAAGTAGAGCATACCTGAGTAGAACGCCCCCTGCTGCCTGGCGTGGGAGGAGGCATCTGAGGCCTGACCCAGAGGTAATCACTAAGTGCTTTATTCACCTGAGTGGTCCCCTAGGCGGTGTTGTTGTTGTTGTTATGTGCTGTTGAGTCAGACCCAACTCATAGCTACCCCTCCTTGGGTTTCCAAGACAGTATCACTATGGAAGTAGATTGCTCCATCTTCCTTCCGAAGAGTGGCTGGTGGGTTTGAACCGCCAGCCTTCTGGTTAGCAGTCAAGTGCCTTAGGTATTATGCTACCAGAGTCCTAGGCGGTACACATGGCTAATTGCTAATTGATGGGCCTCAGAAGAATGTCATGGGGATCTATTTTGAAAAGTGAGCTGTTGGAAACCCTGTGTAGCACAGTTGTACCCTGCCACACTTGGGGTCTCCATAAGCTAAGGTCAACTCAATAGGGACCGGTTTACAGTAAGGCAGGGGGAAGGAGGTGGCTCCAAATTAGGTCAAACCATCCTCTGACCCTCTGTAGTATGCTCACATGAACTTGCATGCTTATTCCTAATACCGGTTTCTAGATTCCTTACTCCATAATACAGTTTTGTTGCTAAATGGCCAAGCGTACAGTGAGGATAGTGCAGGACAGTTACGTTATGCTTTCCATAAGGTCACTCTGAGTCGGAGCTGACTTAGCAACACCTAACAGCAACAGCAACAGCAACAGCAACCTCTCAACTTCGTCTCTTAACTTTTGACTTTGGCCAGATCATTTCATAGCTTGAGCTCTCCCCTACTTCATTTGTGAGATGCTATTTTAGGGTTTCTCTAGCATTCGTGTTCTGTTATTCTACTGTTGTTTTGTTAGGCACCGTCGAGGAGATTCCAAGTCCTAGTGACTGTATGTGACAGAGTAGTTTCCTAGGCTCCAGAGAGTTTCCTAGGCTGTGATCTTTACAGGGGCAGATTGCGAGTTCTTTCTCCCTTGGAGTTGCCTGGTGGGTTCAACTGCCAACCTTTCTGCTAGTAGCCAAGAGCTTAACTGTTGCACCTACCTACTTACTTGATTTACGAGACTTAAGTCACATCGCTAAGCTCAGGGCACCAAGTGTGTCTCCATCTTGCTGGCTTCAAGAGCTGTTGGCCAGTTGTCCTAGGGGCAGTAGTGTACCTGAATGGACTTGATGCTGAATCATTCCCAGCTCTCACCTGGTAGCAGATCTCTTCTCTTGCCAGAAGAGGTTGCTTACTTTGAAATGTCTGGAGACGGGGGAATGGCCAGATGGAATTCCAACTGTGTGACCTTGTTTCTCATTCTTTCAGGAATTTTTCTTTAAATGTGGAGCGCACCCAACCAGTGACAACGAAACATCAGTAGCGTTGAACCTGATCACAACCAATAGTCGTGACATCAGTTGCATAACATGTACCGACATCAGGTAAGGACCTGAGACAGTTGTCCATCATACCATCTTTCTTCCCCAATATGGTCCTCCCACATGACCCTTTCTCAGTGATTTCTCTTTCCTGTGGCATGCCAACTTTGTTTTGAAGATGTCCCAATTTTGGTACATTTTAATGTGATGAAACTATGTCGACTACCAAATACTTAGTGTTGTTAGTAATCAAACAGGGTCCTAGGACATGTGTAATGTTTACATGTGTATCTGAAATAGTGTAATCTAAGTTGACATTAAAATGCAAACTCCTGTATTGGTATCAGTGAGTTATAAAATGAGAACATGATGCTAACCTTAGGAGAGGAATAGCTCTTTATGAGCATGATTTATACTTAGAATATGAACATTTAGTCGAGAAATGTCTTTTCCGTTCCACTTCGCTTCTCCCACATATTTGTCTGTATTTATATCAGGGCATCACATAAATTTGCACACATACAAAATGAAAGCCTGTAGCTAGTTTTGGATCTGGTTACATCTAAGGCCAATGAATAGAATGAAAGTGTGGAGATGATCTGTTAGGAAAAAAGGAAAGTGACTAGATTCGAATTACAGTTTAGGAGGAAATGACAATGTACAAGAACTGAGAAGTCTCTTTAATCCGCGGAGTTAAAAGTTCAGAGTAGAATTCCTTACTCTACAATATTCAGCTGAACAGAACAAAAGAAATTAGCTTTATTACATATGCTCTGAGGTTGGCTAGAGGTTGCAATTGCAACAGAGAGTTCTTAGCTCTTATCTTGGGAGAGCATTTTAGTGGAATACCAAAATGAATTAAAAATGTCAAATATTCTTTGTTCCAGAGTTTTAGGCAAAGACAGGTATATACCTTGTTGTTGTTGTTGTTATTTGCCATCGAGTCAGCCCCTACTCATAGCGACCCCTCTTTGGGTTTCCGAGGCAGTGTCACTACAGAAGGAGGATTGCCCGACCTTCCTTCCAAGGAGTGGCTGGTGGGTTTGAACTGCCAGCCTTCTGGTTAGCAGTCAAGTGCCTTAGGCACTATGCTACCAGAGCTCCTGGTATATACCTTAGTTATGTTAAATGTTGCCTCTCCTTGGTCTTTGTGACTCTACTAGATGGCCTTTTAAAGTTACACTGAAGTCTATTATTTTATGGTTAATTGATAGAAATAACTCCTCACATGGTACTTGTAGTCTCTAATAAACTGAAAGAAGATTGTTGATTGACAGAAGCCTAAATATCAGTTGAACAAAACTTGTTTTTAAGGGGGAATAAAAACGAGGATCTTTTCTTTTTGCTGAATGTGTGGTCACCAATGTGAGAAGGAGCCCCCCAAATCTTGTCCAATAATGCACTGTTTTCCCCTTCCTTGGCAAGGTGAATGAGTGCAGTATACTAATGCTTTCCACATGGAAAAAGAGCAGCTCAATGATTCTGGTGTTTTAGGAAAGGAAGTAGAAAGTGCTCAACATGAAGGCTCTATTGCTTGCAAGCAATATGATATTAAAATCACTTTTCAGTTTTTCAAAGGAGAACTCAAAACATTTTTCTGTATCAGAATGCAGCCCACCAGCCAATATTTTCAAACCTTCCATTGCAGTTGATAAAGATGACATTAAAATATGTAGCAATGATCTACTGTCATTCCATGAGCATCACCCTCTGTGTTCCCTGCTGCTCAGCTGTCACCTCTATATTACTGACTCACAACATCTCCTGCAAGAAAGGAGCCTCTCACATACCTGGGGAGATAATTGTGAAAAAATAATATTACTTGCAATAAAACAAACCCAACATTGTTCCTATTATTACTTTTGTGAAGTTTTATAAATAGAGCTCTCATGGCATAGTGCCTAAGGCATTTGACTGCTAACCAGAGGCCTGGTGGTTCAAACCCACCAGTCACTCCTCGGAAGGAAGTTTGGGCAATCTACTTCCATAGTGATACTGCCTCGGAAACCCAAGGAGGGGGTGCTATGAGTTGGATATGACTCAATGGTATGAGAGTTTTTTATATTCCATTAGATTTAAATCTGTATATATAACCAACCATTGACTGAATTAGGTCCCTTTTTGTATAACACAATAGACAGGGAAGGGGGTCCTATATGCAGGATACAAAGAAAAAAAAGAAAAAAAAACCTCACTACCATTGAGTCGATTCAACTCATAGCGACATAGTGACCCCTCCTTGGGTTTCTGAGTCAGTATCTCTATGGAAGTAGATTGCCCAATCTTCTTTCTGAGGACTGGCTGGTGGGTTTGAACTGTCAGCCTTCTGGTTAGCAGCCAAATGCCTTAGGCACTATGCCACCAGAGCTCCCATATGCAGGACAGAGAGAGTGAATCTGTCTTCTTACTTTGAGGGTTTTGTGTGGAGAGTCACCACGAAACACCGCTCGAGGAACCTCCCGTACTCTGTGTTGTACTTTGGTTATTGTTGTTTTCTAATGTTTTGCTTTTTAAATTAGAAGTAATTCACTCACAATAAACTATTCAAAAGTGGGGGAAGTTGTTTTTACCTGCACAGTTAGTAATATTTTGGTTTAATTCATTCTAGTATCTTGATTACATCTGAATATTTACATGTAGATATAATGTGTGCATTTATGTGTGAGATATGTGTAAAACTGCTCATTTTATAGACATACTTTTGTATTTGACTTTTTCCATTTAATGTAGCTTCAAGATAAATCTTTCCTTTCATGAAATATTCCATGAAAATAAGAGTTTTAGTAAGTGCCGAAGGTCCCATCACATGGAATATGATGGTTGTTGATAATTGCTTTCTAGTCAGGTCTGAATCATAGCAATCTATGCATAGTAGAATGAAACCTTCCAAATCCTGTACCGTATTTGAGATCCATCAGTATGTTTGGGTCCATTGTGGTGGGTGTTGTGTATTGTGTCAGTCCCTCTCATCAAGGGTTTTTTCATTGGGGAATACTCTATTTAACCATGTGCCTGTTGTTGGCAATTTGGAATATTTCTAGTTTTCTTTTTAATATCTTCAATGCATAGCCTTATACAGATAACAGGATGCTTCAAATCTAAGATCAGAGTCATAAAAATGGTTATAGAGAGTATATGATAATAAACATTTGTAAGGATTTTGATATATATTGCTAAATTTCCTTCCAGAAAAGAAGTGGCACCATTTTAGACTGTGAGTGCCAGCTTCCCTGAATCTTTGTAGCATATTTTTAGTTTTAGTGTTTTTTTTTTTTTTTTTTTAATTAGGATTTGGGTGAAGATTTACAGAGTAAATTCACTTTTCATACAGCAGTTCACATATACTTTGTCTCATGTCATTGAC